CCCCCCCCCCCCCCCCCAACACACACAACAAATGAGGGCTGAGGTGTGACCGTAACAGCCAATCAGAGCAGAGAGGGTGTTACAAAACTTGTATAAATAGTTCAGGTGAGACAGGTGTCAGGCTGTGATGCACCTGACCAATCCACCTGTGTTAAGACAGAGGCAGCAGAGCAGAAGGAGGTGTTTTCTCTCAGAACGACAGAACAAACAGAAGAAAAAATAGGAGGAAAGCATGACGTCATTTGTTCCTCAAGCCCTTTCACCCCAGTTCCACAGCATGGGGCCGGAGTCCCAAGAGTTCAGCCTGTACGGTGACAACTTCTACAGCACTCAGCCTGTGCCTAGTCCACAGCAAACCCCACCGTCCGCTTACGATTTTGGAGAATACTCCGGCCAGACCTCCAACCCTTACCTGTGGTTCAACGGACCCGGGCTCAATCCGGCTCCGTGTCTCAGCGGAGGGCCTCAGCACTACGGGATGACCAAACCGTACGTGGCCGCAGGCGGAATCGGAGGCTCGGACGGTAGTTTCAGCTGGTTCTCCCTGCCTTCCCAAGAAGATCTGATGAAACTCGTGAGGCCTCCTTACTCTTACTCAGCACTTATTGCGATGGCAATACACGGAGCCCCAAACCGTCGCCTCACTCTCAGCCAGATCTACCAGTATGTGGCTGACAACTTCCCCTTCTACAACAAGAGCAAAGCCAGCTGGCAGAACTCAATCCGGCATAATCTCTCGCTCAACGACTGCTTCATGAAAATGCCCAGAGAAGACAGCAATCCAGGTCAGAACATGTTTCTTCTTCTGTAACTGCTTGGGTTTTTAGTTTAGTTCTAGATCATTTTTCAACTGGCAAAATAACAAATACATTTCTTTATTTAACAGGTAAAGGAAACTACTGGACCCTTGACCCAAACTGTGAGAAGATATTCGATAATGGCAACTTCCGTCGCAAGAGGAAGAGAAAGTCTGACTCTCTGGCTGAAGAGGAGGGAAAAGGCTATTCTGGATCGGACTCGGCTCTATCGAGTCCTAAAGAGCCCAGCGACTCCTCAGAGAGAGGAAACTCTCCGGTCTCCACAGATCCGACTCCGTGTCTCAATGGCTTTCTAAGTCAAATGGGTGATGTGGCTTCAGGCTCGAGAGAGGCTCTTCTCCCATCTCCCCTAGCTTTGCCTTTGAGCCAAAGATCTTCTCCGCCTGGGGTGTATGGCTCGTACTCGCCGAGCGCTACCGTGCCGCAATGGGAAACCCATATCCCTCATCCCCTCCCATCCAACGTCTCCACTTCGCCCACTTCGTACACAGACAGCTGTAGTGACTCTATGCTCAACCAGTACAGCAGCCAGCTCTATCCAGTGCTGGGCTCCTCTGACTTGCTGTATCCGCGGGAGGGAACAGAGGTGTAGCATGGGACATAGCGCCG